ATATATATATATATGTATATATATATTATATATATCATATATATATATATTATATATATATATATAAATATATATATTATATATATATATGTATATATAAATATATATGTATATATAAATATATATGTATATATATATAATATATATATATATATATATATATATATATATATATATATATATTTACTAGTAAAAATAACAATAAGATAATAATAACAATGATAATAATGCCAACAATATCAAGTATGATAATAACACAACAATAATAATAATAATAATAATAGTAATAGTGCTAAAACGCTAATAAAAATAACAATGATAATGACAGTGATAAAAACAATAATAACAATACTCATCACAGCAATCATAACTGTAGGTAATGCCAATAATGTCAATAACAATAATAATAACAATGATGATGATAATGATAATGGTAATGATAATAACAATGATAATAATGATAATTACTAATATTAATGATAAGGAACCATAATACCAATAATGATAATGACAACAATAATAATATTAATAAAAATAATAATAACAATAACAATAATAATAACAATATAATAATAATAATAATAATATAATAATAATAATAATAATAATAATAATAATAATAACAATAACATTAATAATAATAATAACATTAATAATAATAATAACATTAATAATGAAAAACAATAATGATACTTAAGATAACAATAAAAAAAACATAATAAAACAATATAACATTATAATAACATCAACAACAACAATACTACTAGTAACAATAGTTATCATAACATCAATAATAACAAAAGTATCAACTACAATGAGCTAATAATGATAATAATAAATAATAATTATAATCCTTATTATCATTATAAGGCAAAAATAAATAAAAACAATAGAATGATAATCTACAATAAGAAAAAATATTGAATGCAAAATAATAACATTTATAATACCTCTGCAATACTAAAATGATAAGAAATTTGGCAATAGGAACAGCAACAAACAATATCAATAAAATATCAATTTATTAAAACTAAACAATAACAAGAATCAATAATAGTAAACAACAACAGTAACAACAACAATAAAAATATTAACAATTATAATAATAATAAAATCAGATCAACAGCCACTACAGCAAAAGTAATAATACAATAAATAATAGTAACAGTAACACTAATGGTAATGATAATAGTAATAATCTTATTAATGATGATAATCCTATTAACAACAATAATAATGACATCAATAATAATAATAATTATTATTATCATTTAATCATCATTACCATCATAATCAAGATAATGATCATTATCATTACTTGTAGTAGTTGCAAAATAACAGAAGTAGAAGAAAATGTAGCAGTAAAGATAAGATCACAATAACAATAATAATAATAATAATAATAATAATATCAAAATAACACAGTAATAATAATAACAATAATGCTAATAATGATTATAACAACAAATAACAACATAAATAGCAATAACAATAAAACAAAAATATAAACAAGAAATCAACAAAGTAATCACAACATAATAATAATAATAACAATAACAATAATAATGATAATAAAATAATAATAATAATAATAATAATAATAATAATAATAATAATAACAATAATAATAATAAATAGTAAACTAATAATAAATACAATAAAACAATATCAATAACAAACAATAATAATAGTAATAATACAACACAACAATAATAATAATAATAATAATAATAATAATAATAATAATAATAATAATAATAATAACAATAACATATTAATTACAATAATAATATCATCATCATCACTGTCAACATTATTAATACTATCACTATAATCATCATTGCCATCATCATCATCATTATCATAAGAAAATAACAGTACTGATAATGATAACAAATATAGTAAAAAAATAAATAAAATAAATAAATAAAATAATAACAATAACAATAATTACAATTCGTACTTATAGCAAGCACAATAACAAAGACTATAACACTGCCAACAACAACAATAATAATGAAAAAATAAAAAATAAAATAATAATAGCAGCAAATAACAATAAAAAAGATAGTCAGAATAAAAACAAAAATTACAATAATAACAATAATAATAATGATAATGATAATAATAACAATAATATCAATAACAATAACAAAACACATATGATAAAAATAACAATTACAATAATAATAATAATAATAATAATAATAATAATAATAATAATAATAATAATAATAATTACAATAATAATAATAATAATAATAATAATAATAATAATAATAATAATAATAATAATAATAAAGAATATGGTAATAATGATATTATAAAATTAGGATAGTAATATACTTGTAAACATTTGGTTGCAATGTACAGATTGTCTATTATTATAATCATAAGCATGCATGAATCTGTGAGTGCATGTGTACAGTGAATATGAGAGTAAAGGAGTGAGGACTATTATATTCTACAAATCATTATATTCTACAAACATGGAAAATTA